GCCAGTGTTCCCCTATCCTTCCCTCCTGCCCTATATCTTAGCCCCAAAGTTAATTGCTTTATCAAGGAGGATGCCTTCCCCAGACAGTAAAAGGACCACATTGTGGTTAATGATTGATAAATAGCTGTGCTAGGATCTCCATACTAAGTGCTCTCTAGATCCAAGCATTATCACTAACAACTGCAGAGCTCAGAGTGCTCTGTTGCCAATAGCGTATAATTACAAACCCACCATGGGGTGAATTCTCAGAATTGGGTGTTTGAGCTGGGCCTTGAAGGAAAGCAAAGGAAAAATAAGTACACTAAAATGATATCCTGCCTGGTTTGTCCTTTTCTAGAAGTACATCTAGAATGCTCTAGAGCAGAACTGTCCAATAGAGCTTTCTTCAGTGATAGAAATGTTCTATCCAATATGGTAGCCACTAGTCACATGTGGCTATTGAATACCTGAAATGTGGCTATGTGACTGAGGCACTGATGTTTTTACTTAATTTTTATTAAATTTAATTAGCTACCTGTAGCTAGTGGATACCATATTGGACAGCACAGCTCTGGAGCCCACTGAGCATGCCCAGATTCTGTTCCACATGCTCATTCTTTGCTTCATTCTCCTTGTGACCCTTGCTGTTTCTGTCTTGCCTACTCCCTCGAGTTTGATGTACTAATTGGCTAGCTTCCAACATTGCTTCTGTTTCCTAGTTATTGATTTCCTCTCTCATCACAGCAGAACTCTGGCCTATCTTCCAAATGACTCATACTTTAATGCCTCCCAACCTGTGCTGGTGTGTGGGCCTGGATAAGGTAGCTTCACAGAATTCTGTCCTGCCACATTTGGCCCTTGACTAAGTCTTATTCACTTCCTCCTTTCCTTTCCTCATTGTTTTTTTTTCCAGGCCACTTTAACCAGCCAGTTAGTAACCTGGAATATTTATTAACCTTTTTCCTCCCTGACAACTTGAGTTAGAGGAACAGTTGAGGTGGAGGTGTGTATTGGGGATGGGAAGGGAGGGTTTTAACTGGTTGAATGAATACTTTGATTTGAGGTCTCTGGTAGTAAGTGAAGGGCTCCATCCTGAGGCCTTTTCTGCCAGATGTTTTAAACTTTGATTTATATAAAGATAGCAATATTGATAAATTGGTACATTTGTAGATGGAAAGGATTAGTTCAGGATACAAAGAGGCTCCTGACAGGCCAAAGCATTGGGACAAATTTAATATGATGAAATGTAATGACGACAAATCTCAGACATATTTAGGTGAAAATGGCCAATTGCCTGAGTACCAACGTATGCTTTAGAAGACTTGGGTATGTAGCTGATTATGAATCAGTGCTGGATAACAAGGTTATTTACTCTTGGAAAGCACTAATAGAATTGTATCCAACAAGAGCATCCATATCCAAAAGAGACCTGCTCATTTCCACATTGATCAGACTGCACCTGGATCATGGTTTCAGGTTTTGAGCAACTCACTTTAAAAAGGGGAGAGACATTGACAAACTGACTGACCACAGGGGTTAAGGGACTGGTAACCTGTCTTATAAAGACCTGAGAGAGCAGGTCTATGGGAGAGCGGACTATGGGGACTGGGTCCCTTTCCTCAGTCTCTGAAGGGCAGTCACAGAGCAGAGCAGACATCTCCAGAGGGCAGAGCAACAACAAACGAATGAAAATTTGAGCAGATTTCAGCTCAGTATGAAGAAAATGTTTCCAACTGCCAGAACTCTGATTTGGGGCGGTTTAAGCTGCAGAGTGAGAATTTAGTAGAGACCCTGGAGGAACGACGTTAAACATGCCCCAAAGCCAGTCTGCTCAAATATTGATTGTCTCCACAGTGATGGATAGTTCATTCAAAATGTGTAGGCTTTATACTTGCTCACCCCAGTTAGTTTACAGGTTCTATATTAAGTGTCAGACTCTCCTCATTCTAGCTCAGCATTCTAATTAAGTAACCTTGGCTCTTTGCATGTGGGAAACAGGTTTCAAGCACAGAACCTCTAGCACCAAGCAGAATGGCAACATAATTTTAGCTCCTGAGCAAAATGGGTTTCATAACAGCACCAGTACAGCGTGCACATTAACATTTGAATATGCTGGATAATAAGTGTGCTAATTTCTCTGAGAAGAATACTTGAAGAATAAGATAAGCTGGGATCATTAGAGGAGAAAGGGGCTAGCAATTTATGGCACTGCTGCTGCTTGGTGCTCAAAAGTACATGATGTCTCTCATCACAGGTAAAAGATAATTACTGTGATTATAAATGTAATGATACTGGCAGGAGGTGATCAGAGTTTTATTGGAAATAAGTTTATGGTACAGTTGTTGTTTTTTTAAACCACATTCAGATTTATCACTAATAAATTAAAATGTGACCCCATTTGGCTGTTTGGTTCCTTTGAGCAGTCTAAATGTGAAGCCATTACTATATTCTGATCTCAACTTTGCAGAAAACGGCTGACAGAGTATTCCTGGGAGATGAGACACTGAGATGGGGAGGCCTCACGTTGGACATAGGGACATGATAATCCCCTTGTGCTGGAGTCGTCGTTGTAAGGGGGCTGGCGCCCCACGCCTTGACCAGCAGTTCTCAGAGTCTGGTTTGCAGACCTCTCAGGGATCCTGATACTCTTTCCAGAGGTCCAGAAAATCAAAATTATTTTCATGTCATTTGACTTTTTTTTTTTTGAGGGTATGCTTTTGTTTTGTTTTGTGTGGGTTGTTTTTTTTTGTTTGTTTTTTTTAACCCTCACCCAAGGTATTTATTTTTCTATTGAGTTTTACAGAGAGTAGAAGAGAAAGGAAAGAGAGAGAAATGTCAATGTGAGAGAAATACATCGATTGGTTGCCTCCTGCATGTGCAGCGACCAGGGCCTGGGCCCGGGAGAAGCCTGCAACCGAGGTACATGCCCTTGACCCGGATTCAAACCTGGGACCCTTTGGTCCGCAGGTCCATGCTCTATCCACTGAACCAAACCAGCTAGGGCTCATTTGACTTTTTAACAGTATTGAAAGGCTATATATATTATATGATTTAATTTATATGGAATGTCCAGATCAGGCAAATTTATAGAGACAGAAAGCAGATACACAATTGTCAGGGACAAGGGGAGGCCAGAAGGGGGAGTGATCATGTTCTGGAACTAGGTAGTGGTGGTGGTGTTTGCACAACACTGTGAATGTACTAAATGCCACTGAATTGTATACTTTAAAATGGTAAAATGGTTTAAATGGTGAATTTTATATTAATTTTACCACAATAAAAAAAATTTAAAAAGTAAAGGTTGCACATTGTGCTGTATGAGAGGCTCTTCCCATCCAGACTTTAAGTTGCTTGGGAGTTTTCCTGGAAGTTCTCTTTGCCAGATCTCTCAATAACTACATTCTTAAAGTAATGAAACATTTTTCTTATTCTGCTAACATACATTCTAGGTTAATGGCCGGGGGGGGGGGGGGGGAGAATGCAACTCTCCATCACAGATTCTGTTTCCAGGGAACCCAATCTCTTACAGTACTTTGGTCGAATTCCTTATATCATATTCCTGATATAAGATCTTAGCACATTGTAACTGCAGTTAAATATCACTTTTTGTTTATGTGTCTGTCTCTCCTAAGAGGTGACTCTTAAGGATAGGAGTATTTTCTTATTATCCTTAAAGCCCAGTACACACACACACACACACACACACACACACACACACGAATCCAAATATGGTGCTAATTAATAACTTTGTGTTAAGTACTTTTAAAAAGGCATTCCAACTTTATATACATTTTATAGATGCTTAAACTGAGGAAACAAAAACTTTAGGCCGTGAAAAGATGTTAAACAGCAAAACCATATGATAGCATCTGGTATCAAATATGGCACATGGTTGGTGGCCAATAAATGCCTGTTTCTTCTGAAAAAAGGAAAAATAATAATCTTAACATTCCTATGACTTATTAAATGTTTCCATCTCTTTTTTAGACCTCATAGAGTGTCAGAGCTGGTTATCTCCTCGTGTGAGCTAGAGATTGGGCAGGGGAGCTCCAAGGTGCTCCTGTGAAAGAAATATGAACGTGGAGCTTAAGGGGAGAGATCAGGAGTAGGGAAAGAAGTCTCCCAGATGCATAAGAGCAAATAAGTTAATCCAGAGAGAAAGGGTGGCTTAAGATGATTATTCAACCAGCCCTTAGGACTCCCATACCCAGAAGAAAGGCCAGAGGGAGGCAGGAGGCCTGGGTGCTAGGAGAGTCAGAGCACAGTACAGATGCCCTGGAGCATGCATTCTCAACAGGAGTACGGCAAGCTTCAAGTCAAAGGGCACTTTGAGGCTTCCCACAAAAACCAGCTGTGGTCTCTTGTCCTATCCCACCTAGAGGAATCTCCCCAAAGGCAACTACCACCAACTCTTTTGGTAATTTCTTCTGATGTTTACCTGCATATTTATAAAAACCTGCTTCTGCTGCTATTTCTTGATTTTTCCACTTTAGACATTATCTACTGACATCCTACTATTAGAAGATTAGGATTTAGTTCTCTGCTACCACTCCTGAAAGCCTAGTGGGCATTAATAAAGGGAAACCAAGTGATCCATCTAAAAGGAAGGCAGCTGCCACTCAGCAGGTTATTGCCAGAAAATACAGCTCCTTGTTGGCAGAATGTGTCAAGGTATGTTCATTTGCAAGTCACTACAACTGAAAAACTGACCTATCAGTGAAGCTCACACTAAAAGTCCAGGGCAACTCAAGCTTCAAGGTTGGTTTGATTCAGCAAGACTGAGCTGCTGGGAATATTCTTGCTCTCAGCCTCAGGAAACACTTGGTTTACACCCGCTCCCAGAGTGAAGCAGGAAGTCAGTGACTGGCTAACCTGAGAATACAATGCCTGCCCCTCTTATTTCAATTTGGGATAACTCTGAAGGGCATGCCCATTCTTAAGGTCCTCATGGGATCAGCTGAGGCCTTGGTTGTAACTACTAAGTTGTAACTATTGTGGTGGTCAGCTTCTTCCATGCTCACCCTGTCTTCTTCACGTTGCCATAGGTGGATGACCTGAGAGCATTCCCCAATAAACTTCTGCATGCAACTCTCCATCACAGATTCTGTTTCCTAGAACCAAGAGTGGGGGGGCGGGGTAGGGGGTAATCAGCCTTTCCCAATGCAATGCACATAGGTTGAGTCAGGGAGGATGGGGATGGTACAAAACTTTTAATCCTTATAAAAAAAGGAGAAGAATCGTATTGGGGAGGCAACTACACGGATCTTTTGATCTTTCAAGAGAAGCCAGAAACCGTTTACTATGTAAAAAGTCTCATGATGTTTTAATGTTGGAAAATAACTGAGATATTTTTAAATGCTATAAAGAGCCAACAAGACATGGTCCAATACCCACATTTCAGCAGTTTGCAAACTTGGCCAGAGAGAATACAGGTGTGTTTTGTAGCTCAGAGAGCAAAACTAGGACTCTAGTTATATGAAGTCATGAAGTCAACAAGTCAGCTCAACCTAAGGAACAGTTTCCTAATGATTTGAGCAATATAGAAATGGAACAAAGCCCTTCAGAGAAAGGTGAGTTCCTTGGCACCAAAGTTCATGTTTGAGTCTGTTAGAATTTGAGCTATATGATCTTTGAGACCCAGGTTTTGGGTTCCTTCCTGGGTTGGGGCTCTATGAGAGGCAACAGATTGATGTTTCTCTCTCTCTCTCTCTCTCTCTCTCCCTCTTTCTCCCTCCCTCCCTCCCTCCTTTCTTCTTTAAGATCAATAAAAATAAAAAAGAACAAGAAAGAGAACTTGGAAATGAAAATATTATAACTGGAATAAAACAAATTTGGTGCCATAGCCAGTTTTGCTCAGTGGATAATGTTGGCCTGCGGACTGAAGGATCCCAGGTTGGAACCTGCAACCAAGGTATGTGCCCTTGACCAGAATCAAATCCAGGACCCTTCAGTCTCCAGGCTGATGCTCTATCTACTGAGCCAAACCGGCTAGGCCAGTGGTCGGTAAACTGCGGCTCACAAGCCACATGCGGGCTCTTTGGCCCCTTTGAGTGTGGCTCTTCCACAAAATACCGACTTCTGCGCATGGGCCACGAAGTTTCAATTGCACTGTATGTGCGCGCCTGCATGTGGTATTTTGTGGAAGAGCCACACTCAAGGGGCCAAAGAGCCGCATGTGCCTCGTGAGCCGCAGTTTGCCAACCACTGGGCTAGGCTAGCATAATCATTAACATGTTTTTATTGATTTCCAAGAGAGGAAGCCATAGAAACTTAGATCAATCTATTGCCTCCTGCATGCCCCCTACTGGGGATTAAGCCCACAACCAGGGCATGTGCCCTGACAAGGAATCGAATTGGCAATCTCTTGGTGCATGGGACAATGCTTAACCAACTGAGCCACACCGGCTGGGCCAGCATTATATGTATATACTAGGGGCCCACTGCACGAATTTGTGCACCTTTAAAGGAACTGTGGGCCGCGAGGTTGCGGTGGACACAGGGGCAGGTCTTGGCCCATCCTCTGTGCCCCCACCCAGCACCTCCCACTGAGGCCCCTGGTCCCCTGTCTGCCGGCAGCCCCACTCCCACCGCTCCCACTTGCTGATGGTGCCGGCCCCACTCGCACCCGCTGACTGCACTGAGCAATGGGGGCCTGCGCCAGCAGCAGGTGCAAGTGGGGCCGGCACCATCAATGGGTGTGAGTGGCAACTGCTGCCCCGATCACCCCTCAGGAGCAGGGGAAGATGGAGAAGCCCTCAGGGGCAATCGGGGCAGCAGCGATCGAGACCAGTGCCGGGCGCCAGCAGCAGGTGCGAGCGGTGGCTCTGGAGCCAGCTGCAGGTGCAAGCGGGGCCAGGGCTGGCAGTGGGTGCGAGCAGCAGCTCCGGTGCCGGCAGCGGGTGCGAGCGGCAGCTGCTGACCCCAATTGCCCCTCAGGAGCAGGGGGAGGTGGAGAAGCCCTGAGGGGTGATCGGGGCCTGTAGCCGGCGCTTGCACCCCCTGACAGTGCCAAGTGATCTGGGCCGGTGCTGGGCACCAGCAGCAGGTGCGAGTGGGTCTGGCACTGGAAGCAGGTGTGAGCGCCCAGCGGGACCACGGCACGTGGGAGCAAAGAATTTCCAGTAACCACCAGAGGCTCGCCCCGCTCACCTGCTCCACCATCCTGCCGCGGCCGAAGCCCACCATGTTCTGCGCTCTGCCACCTGCTGCTGATGCCTGCCAAGTTCTGCACACACCCCCTGGTGGTCAGCGCATGTCATAGCGACTGGTTGTGCGGTTGTTCTACCATTCGGTCTATTTGCATATTAGGGTTTTATATATATAAATATATATGTTTTTTTAATCCTCACCCGAGGATATTTTTCCATTGATTTTTAGAGAGAGTGGGAGAGGGAAAGACCGAGAAACATCGATGTGAAAGAAACACAATGATTGTTGCCTCCTGCACACACTGACTAGGATCTGGGCCAGGGAGGAGCCTGCAACAAGGTACATGCCCTTGACCGGAATCGAACTCAGGACCCTTTGGTCCTCAGGCTGACACTATCCACTGAGCCAAACCAGCCAGGGCTAGCATAATATTTTTAAGGTGCATCCATGCTGTAGCATGTATCAGTACCTCATTCCTTCTTATGGTTGAAAAAATTCCATTGTATGGATATACCACATTTTGTTATCCATTTACCAGTTTATAGACATTTTAGTTGTTTCCAACTTATGGCTATTATGAATAACGCTGCTATAAACATATGTGAACAAATTTTGCATGAACATGTATTTTCACTCTCTTGAGTTTATACTTTGGAGTGAAATTGCTGGATCTATGTTTGACTTTTTTGCTGGGGTCCAGCCCCAGTGGTCCAGGGGTTCCCAAAGGTGTGGACAGAGTTGGCAAAGAATGTTTTACACGGAGACAGCATTCAGAACTCTCTAGCTCTCTTTAGTCTCCGTGGATCTTCCTGTGCCTGGCTGAGGCCACAGAGAAAGATCCCGAGGCAAGATGAGCCTTTATTTTTATAGTCAGAGGTAAACAAGGTAGTGGTTACCAAAGTTACACTGTTCTTGTGAGTTTCACTTGTTTACACTGTTCTTGTGAGTTTCACTTGTTTTTGTTCTTGTTGCACTTCCCTCAGCCCATTAGCTTCCCAAGTAAGATCTAGGGAGCGTTATAAGGTCAAACCTAATTATGCTTAAGAGGACTGTGCCCTCTAAGCTGGGACTTGTTTGTGACATTGCCAACAGGTCAGTCCGAGGTTTAACCCTATAGAGGCTCCCCACACTTTTTGAGGAATTGCCAAACTGTTTTCTAAAGCAGCTTCACCATTTTACATTCCCACCAGCAATGCACAAGGGTTCCACATCCTCACCAACACTTGTCCATTTTTAAGATAGCCATCCTAGTGGGTGTGAAGTAGTATCTCATGGCGGTTTTGATTTGTATTTCCCTAATGCCTGATAATGTTTAGCTTCTTTTCATGGGCTTATTGATCATTCGTATATCCTCTGGAGAAATGTCTATTCAAATTCTTTGCCCATTTTTAATTGGGTTGTCTCTTTGTTGTCGAGTTCTAATATTTCTTTTATATTCTGAATACAAGTCCCTTAGTAGAAACATGATTTGCAAATATTTTCTCCTGTTCCATGCATGCATTAACTTTTACTTTATTTTTTTTAATATATTTATATTTAATCCTCACCCAAGGATGTTTTTATTGATTTTAGAGAGAGAGGAAGGGAGAGAAACATCAATGTGAGAGAGAAATATCGATCGGTTTCCTCTAGTACCTGCCTGGACTAGGGATTTAACCTGCAATCTAGGTATGTGCCCTGACCAGGAATCAAACCCGCAATCTTTTGGTGTATGGGATGACACTCAAGCTAACTGAACTACCTGGCCAGGGCTGTCTTTTACTTTCTTGATGGTTTCAATGGAAGCACAAACATTTTCAATTTTGCTTAAGTCCAATTTATCTCTTTTTTTCCCTCTGGTATGTTAATGCTTTTGGTGTTATATGTAATCCAAGGTCATGAAGATTTATCCTGTTTTCTTCCAAGTCAGTTTTAGGTCTTATATGTAAGTCTTTGACCCATTTTTAATTTATTTTAGAGAGAGGAAGAGAGACAGAGAGAGAGAAACATCGATAGGTTGTCTACTATATGCACCCCAACTAAGGACTGAACCCACAACCTGGGTATGTGCCTTGATGGGGCATTGAACCCGCCATCTTTTGGTGTATAGGACAACGCTCCAACCGAGCCACACTGCCAAGGGTATCTATGACCCATTTTGAATTAATTTTTGTATATGGTGTGAGGTAGGGGTTCAACTTCTTTCTTTTGCATCTGGATATATAATAGTCCCAGTCCATATGTTTAAAAAAGACTGTTCTTTTCACATTGAATTATCTTGTCACACAGGTTTTGCCCTTGTCATTAGTTGAAAAATGATTGACAAAAAAATTTTTAAAGGTAATACCTAGTTTAGGCAATGGTGAGGGAAGTCTTAATCACTGTTCATGGGAGTGCAAAAGTAGTACAGCCACTGAAGTGAAATTTGCTATGCATATCCAAATCTGAAATACATACACATGCTTGGGTTCAGAAATTATACTTCTAGGAATTTATTTCAAGGAGCTAATTGCACAAAGATGTTATGTATAATGGTGAACAACTGGAAGAAACCTAAATGTCAATCAGTAGACCAGGTAAATAAATTATGCTACATCCATACAGTGAAATATGACACAGACTTTAAAAATGATTAAATAAAAAATAATAAAATATAAAAAATAAAAATAAATTATGAACTAGACATAATTATTGACTTGGAGGAAACTCTATGATTTACTGAGAAGTAAAAAATAAAAGCATGTTACAAGTGCTTACAGCTCTTTCTTAATTTGCCTAGTATGTCTTCTGGTTTTATACCAAAAGGTCCTCCCTAAAAAAAAAAAAAAAAAAAAAAAAAAAAAAAAAAAGCACCTTACAAAGCACCATTTATGCATTTATATAATATACTAGGGGCCCAGTGCACGAATTCATGCACCTTAAAAGGAACTGTGGGCCGCGAGGCTGCGGTGGGCACAGGAGCGGGTCTTGGCCCATCCTCCATGCCCCCGCCTGGCCCCTCCCACCGCGGCCCCTGGTCCCCTCTCTGCCGACAGACCTACTCCCGCCGCTGCCGCCACCACGCCAGCACCACTCACACCCGCTGACTGTGCAGAGCAATTGGGGCCAGCACCAGCAACGGCTGCGGCTGCGAGTGGCGGCTGCTGCCCCGATCGCCCCTCAGGAGCAGGGGAATGTGGGGAAGTCCTCAGGGGTGATTGGGGCCAGCAGCTGCCACTCAAACCCGCTCACAGCGCTGGCCCCACTTGCACCCGCTGCTGGAGCTGGCCCCAATCACTCCGTACTGTCAGTGGGTGCGAGCAGGGCTGGTGCTGGGCGCTGGCAGTGGGTGCGAGCGGAGCCGGCGCCAGCAGCAGATGTGAGCACCGGGTGGGACCACGGCACACCAGAGCAAAAAAATTTCAGTAACCAGGGGCTCTCCTGGATGACAGTGACCAGCACCCTGCCTTGGTCTGGCGCCCCCGCTCACCTACTCCACCATCCCACCGTGGCCAACACCTGCCATGTTCTGCACGCACCCCCTGGTGGTCAGCGCACGTCATAGTGACCGGTTGTTCAGTTGTTCTGCCGTTCGGTCTATTTGCATATTAGGGTTTTATATAGATAGATAGATAGACAGACAGACATTTACATATGAATATACATTCATGGAGAAAATATTCACAAAAATATTAACAGTGGTTGCCAGTAGGTAATGGGATTTAGTCTGGTTTTTATTTCCTTCTTTATACTTTTTTTGCATTGCATGAATTTGCTACATGAATATGCATTGTCTTTATATTCAGAAAAAGAAAAGCTATTTTCATTTTGTAGGAGCATATCAAGGAATATATATTGTACAGGACAACTCAAATGGCATGGAACTATGTTCATAATATATTGTTAAATGAAAAAAGCAAGTTATAGTATCATGCTGTTTTAAAAAAATTTAGTGTAATATATACAGTATTTTCTAGGTACTATGATAGTTTATTTTTTTACTACCTACTATTTCTCAAGTAAGGATGTCTCTTATAATCACTATGAATATTTAATGTAGTGGGTTTCCCCCTTGCTGCCTCTCTGAAAAGCTGTTATTAACGAGATGATGCTTCTGGCAATCTGAGACTTGAGAAAGTGCCATATGTGTATAGAGAAAAGACTGGAGGAAAAGACACCAAAACGTGATCAGTGTGTGCTTAGTCCTGAATTGAGATTTTTATTTTCTTCTCTTTGTTAAGCATAGTTTCCAAGTTTTCTATAGTATATACATAGGTAGACATAAAAAGAAATCTGGCTGCCCTGCTTTCCTTCTTTCTTTATTAATATTTTTTCTTTACTTTAAAGATCTAATTGGCTTTAATAGATGATTCATGAATTGGACAGCACTTCTTCTAGCAACTAGAAATGTGCTCCTGCCCTGCCTTTCAAGAAGTAGAGTGTGGCGGGAAAAATAAGTAAGAGTGTGAGGGTATTTGGGACATTTGGCCTTTACCAAAATGAGACTAGAAAATTAGGGAGCACACAAACTACCTCGGGAGTGTCAGAGTCTAGAGTGAGGGAGGGCTACCTTGCATGGCCACCAAGGGGCCTCTGGCCTGGCCAGAGCTGGCAAAGCAAGCTTGAGAACAGATGGGAAAGTTCAGTCAGCAGGAGTAGGACTCTTGGTAGTTCTGTGTGGACAAGGAAATCCCTGTGAGGGAGGAGATAGTCCAGATGGTGGGGATAGTGGCTAATTATGGAGGAGAAGCATATCCAACACTGTGGGACCACTCAGATATTTTCCAGTCTAGCTCAGGAGCACATTCCCAGTTCATGATGAGCGACCAAGGATTGCATGAAACAGAAAATTAGTTCACCCCTTTTGAGAATCAAAACTTACATTGGTTTGGGGTGAGGCCTTTCCTCAGTCAAAGGGGCAGGGCAACTACAGGAAACGAAGGACATAGAGCAGAGGTGGAGGACTGATGGCCACAGCAGAACTTCTACAGCTCCTGGGAAGACCAGCAAGCTCTGGCCTCTACTTAGGGTAAGGGAGGGACTGGGCTTGCAGTGACTAAGTCAGGGGCACAGAGGAGGGTGCCAGGCACTGTGCCAGGTAGAAGCTTCACCCACATGATCATGTGTAATCCTCACAAGCCTCATTAGAATCCTTCTCTAAAAGGGAAAAATAGCCTGGCCACGGTTGCTCAGTGGTTGAGCGTGGACCTATGGACCAGGAGTTCCCCACTGCATTTCCAGTCAGGGCACATGCCTGGGGTTTCAGGCTCAATCCCCAGTGTGGGGCATGCAGGAGGCCGCCGATCAATGATTCTCTCTCATCACTGATGCGTCTATCTCTCTCCCCCTCTCACTTCCTCTCTGAAATCAATAAAAATATATTTATAAAAAATAAAAGGGAAAAACATTCAGCAAAGTTAATACTCACTTATCGTATTAACTCATTGTTTTTTGTAATGGGAGGTGGGAAAAACAAGTCTCAAAAAAAATCTTCAATCTGATCTTAATGTTGTATTTTCAAAACTATATGCAATATAGAAAAAAAGCTGCAAGGATATACACCTTAATGGTGGGTGTATTTCAATGGTAGGAATTTAATTTTTAAATTTTATTTTCTGTGTGTGTTTTTTTCTCCCCTGAATCCCCACAATATGCATGTAAATCTTCTTGAAGCAAAGAAAACAAAAATGGTTTTACAGAAGCGGTCGTGAGGACTAGTGGATCAAAGTAATGAGAACGAATTACAGTGAGACTTTAATGATAGAAAAATCCAGATTCTCACTAGCTATGTGAGTTCCACTTGGCTTCTCCAAGTCTGTTTCCTAAACAATAAAAGGGGATTATAGTCTTGTCCCAGTGAGCTGCTGCCAGGATTAACTGAAATGCAATATACATGAAAGTCCCAAGCACAGTACTTGGCATAAAGATGGTGCTTAATAAATATTAAACCCGACTCTTGATAGTCACAGCTCTTCCTTGCTGCCCCAGGACGGCCTAGCACCTACAGCTGTCTCAGAGAATAGAAAGGAATCTGGTTCCCTTGTCAAGGGCCCTTTACTGGACCTGCGGCTGCCTACACACCTGACACTCTCCACTCCCCTGTTTTTACCATCTAGAGACTTCTAAGTTCTCATTCTTACCCAATTTTCATCTATTTGCCTCTCCCTCTCCCTTTGTCTCAACAATCTCAGCTGCCTAGACAGTATTCTTGAGTACATGCGACATTATTTTCAACATAACACGTATTTGCAGAGCACCTATGTAGGGCGCGGCTATAGGGTTAAGCCTTGGACTGACCTGTTGGCAAAACCAAAAACAAGTCCCAGTTTAGAGGGCACAGTCCTCTTAGCATAATTAGGCTTGACCTTATGACGCTCCCTAGATCCTTCCTAGGTAGCTAATGGGCTGTGGGAGGTGCAGCAAGTGCTGCCAAAACAAGTGAAACTCACAAGAACATTGTAACTATGGTGACCACTACCTTGTTTACCTCTGGCTATAAAATGAAGGCTCAGCTTGCCGCTGGATCTCTCTCTGTGGCCTCAGCCAGGCACAGGAAGGTCCACCTAGCCAGTGATGGCGAACCTTTTGAGCTCGGCGTGTCAGCATTTTGAAAAACCCTAACTTAACTCTGGTGCCGTGTCACATATAGAAATTTTTTGATCTTTGCAACCATAGTAAAACAAAGACTTATATTTTTGATATTTATTTTATATATTTAAATGCCATTTAACAAAGAAAAATCAACCAAAAAAATGAGTTCGCGTGTCACCTCTGACACGCGTGTCATAGGTTCGCCATCACTGACCTAGACCCAGCTTATTCTCTCTGTCTGTCATTCATCCTTTCGCCACCCTCACTCAGGCTTTCGAACCCTTGGCTGAGCTGGCTTGGCACATGTGGTGCCCAACGCTGGGCCTGAGTTTGGGGGAACTACAGTTGTCAGGTGAAAGGATGCTCCAGTGAAGCACGTGCAGAAAACAAGAAGGGAGGTGAGGAGCGAAGTTCAGTGATATAACTAGGTGTAAAACATGGGAAATTCAGGTTCGCAGGAAAAGAATTTATACGTATCCATGCTTAAGGCCATGCTCCAGGCACGGGGCTGTTCTGTGAGGTATGAACAGCTTTTCGAGTTGCTGGGTTTTGTGAAATCTGCCCATGGTTTTCTGAGGAAGGAAAGGTAAATGTAGAGGCATGGGAGAAGGTAGGAAAACAACTAAGGTCCAGGGAAAATTCCTGCCTACTTTACCCCACTGCAGCCTTTCCAGCCGGCTCAGTAAACCTTTATCATGCCACCCTGGGAAGCCCAGGATTGGCAAGTTTTTCCTGGGGTGATAGATCAGGACTCAGGTAATAGCGGAAAGTGCCAATCCTACTCTGAAAATGAATATAAGAAAGCATTTGGGGTTTTTCTTTTTAATGCCAGTTTTGGATTGAGTAAATGGATTTTACTTAGTTTTAACACATCAAAGTTCTTGACACAAAAAGAAAAACTAACAGTTTGACTCAAGTTAAGGTTTTATTTTGAAGTGCTAAGGCTCAAAAGTAGAACCAATTCACAATAAAAATGTAAAGCTGCATAATTTGCAACTTTTTAAGTTAAAGTAGGAAGTCGTAAATACAGAGGAACATGTATGTTTATATGTATCTAGGAAGCCAGAGCTATTTCTTCAGGTTCCATCATACCATGTTTAGTAGCCTATTCTTCTAATGCAGTGATGGCAAACCTATGACACGCATGTCAGAGGTGACACGCGAACTCATTTTTTTGGTTGATTTTTCTTTGCTAAATGGCATTTAAATATATAAAATAAATATCAAAAATATAAGTCTTTGTTTTACTATGGTTGCAAATATCAAAAAAATTCTATATGTGACATGGCACCAGAGTTAAGTTAGGGTTTTTCAAAATGCTGACACGCCGAGCTCAAAAGGTTCGCCATCACTGTTCTAATGAGTTCTTACCCCATTTAGCCGAGTTAAAATAAGCTGTCTTATTGAGGCTTCATGTGATATCTTCTGATTTAACATTTTGGAGCACCTGACAGCATTACCAGGGATGAGGAGGAATGCAGTAGCAAGCTCTAAAATGTATACCCTTTTATGAATGGTCAGAATTCCATCAATATAAACCTTTTTTATAAAAACAAAAAAAAGGGGGGGAGAAGAATGTTCTATATTTTACAATGCAGAGATTTGTACAACCTATGTTCTAAAGATGGCCCAGGCCTCCTACTCCCTATTTATATCATCCAGAAATATCCATATGAGCTCACAGTCCAGTTGAAATTTTAGAACCTTCAACAACTCCCATGTGTTGCCTAACTGCTATAACAGGTACACACACCATGCTATGGAATGTCAGAGGGCAGATTGAGCAATGGATGCACATGTGTATAGGAGAGGACGGTTAGTTTTTTAAAAGTAATGATTTCTTCCTATGTTGTACACTAGCTTCATATACCGTCTTTACAAAAGAGAAAGGGTGCCATTTTGCTAAACTGATTTCACAGCCAGTTAGATCAATGCCTGAATTGGGCTATTTCCTCTCATCTTCAGATGTATTAAAATTTGTTCCCAGCAACAAATTTGTGGAAAGTTCGGTCATCTGATGGTTTGACCAATGACCTGATGGTGCTGAGGCACTGGAGAGAAGAGCAGGTCCAGGGAGTTACAAATTAGAGTGTTCCCCTCAGACAATTTGCAGCTTATTGGAATACACACACATTCTGATTAACAGGCAGTTTTAACACTCAAAAGGGACCAAAACCAGGCATTATTTGACATTTGCATTATTTATTAGACAAACATGTCAATGGAAGTAAAAAAAAATATTTCATCTATAGTTCAGAGTCCCCAATAAACTAATAAGCTGTTTTCACTTTTCCTTATTCCTTCCAGTCCTTATTCAAATCCATAAATCCATGAACATTGTAATAACCATGGATTAGATACAATGATAGTCTATATTCTACTTCTTTCTCACACCCAGATGCATACTCGTCAAGTACCGCAATATTCAAAACCAGGGCACTGTGACAGCCCCTTCAGGCCTGTGGCCTGACAGTCCAGTGGAAGACGCTGGCAGGGTAGTGAGACACACCCTGTTCTGCCTGTGTTATTTATGCCTCCGGCAGTGAAGCCCCTGACAAAGAAGCATGTCACTGGAACACATGCTCTTTGTTCATGGAGGTGCACGCCAGCACCGGCTGTGTCGGAAGGGACAGTACCGGGTCTGTAGTCTCTCCTCCTCTGGCTTTTTTGCTTTCTATTTGCTGCACATTGTGGTTATGTTTATTAATTACTTTGTAGCTTAAACTTATAAAACACACATTTATCTTGTGAGGAAAGAGTCCTTCATACCCCTATGAGTTGGTCATAGAGGATAGGGTCCCAAGATATGCCTGGCTTTCCCCTAAGAATCAGTACCACCTCCCCCATGAGCCACCAGGTTACCAGTCTCTCTAGCACAGAGCTACCATGGCCCAGTCTCCATCAGCACCTCCCCCTTACCTGCAAGATGGCACCTGCATGTTCTTTTTGGTGTTAAAGGTGCTCTACAGATGTTCCTACCTCATGTTCCAAATCAGGCCCCCATGATCAGACTTCATTCCAACCAGACGGATCGCAGAAATGATGGCAGGCTTTAGAGTTAGACCCATCTGGGTTTAAACCCTAGCTCCTCCTCTTGTTGGCCATGCAGCTGAAGGTTCAGTTCCTCATCTGTAAAATGATTAAAATACAATCTACTTCACAGAGGTGTCTTTGGATTAAATGAGAAAGAACATATCAAGCCCTAAAAATGGATGATCCATCATTGCTTTCGAGCTCATGGAACTGATTTGCTAGTTTTTCATAAAAGCCTTCATCTCACGGCCTTGTGGTTTCTCATAACCTTATAGTTAGTGCTCGTGTGACATCCTGAAGAGCACTTTCCCTCACCATTTTCCCGTCACAGAGATGTCTGCTCAGACTAACATTTTAAGACTTGGGAAACTGCATACCAGAAAGTTTTTGCTTTTTCCAGAGCCTTTTAAAAAACGTTCTTTTGCTTTGAAAATTTAATTAATTACATTTTTTTTTACATTGATATGTGGTTTTGTTTGCCACAGGTAGAATGGGAGGGGGAAATCTTAACTTTAAGAAAACCTTAGGTTGATGCATAGAATTGTTTTTCTCTATTCACAAGTTGTTCCCAATCTTTGGAGCCTTTTGTCTATATTAGAAACAACTCGGTATCTGATGAGACATATGATGCATTTACTTATTTTAAGCTGAATATAGGTCTGTTACTCTAGGTCTGCAAAGCAAACTTAATGCTCTAACCCCGGCTTTCAGGGAGTTCTCTGAACCGGACCATTACAAAGGCTACCTGCCAAGCTTCACCCAAACCGAGACCATCGAGAATTCACACACCTCGCAGGGGTCCCCTAAGGAATAATGGGATAAAAGTCTAGGGACAAACGCTAAGACTCCGAGGGCCCATTGGAAATGCTAATTGCTGCCTTGCCAGCCTCCATTTAACTGTTAGAAACCCGGGGAGAGTCCACTGAACTCGGGGCCGCCCGGCTCCTCTGTGGCTCGGGCAAGTGTCCGCAGTTGCACCCCGTCCCCGCGAAGGCCGACCCCACCCGGTGCCAGGCGGTACAACGCGGGGTGACCGCGATGCCGCTCCCGACGGGGGTCCCTCTTAGCCCTTCCAAGACCAACCGGCCGAGAGGACAGCGGGGTTCGGGCTGTTGACTCACACCGCGGGGAGCAGAGGGTGAACCCGAATGCCTCACGTCCCCGCGCTCCCCTTCACGTGTCCCACTTTCGCGGGCGTCGGGCTGGCATGGCCGAGCCTCCGGAGCGGGACCTGGCCTCACGGACCTCCGAAGCCGGACTCTCCAGCCTCCTCTCCCTACGAGCCCTCCGGGCCAACGTCCCAGTGCGGGTCGGAGACTCGCGCCGGGGCGCAGCGAGCTGTGCCTCCTGGCGAGGGTGGGGGGGTCTCAGCTCGGCGGTGGGCGGG